AGGCACAAGCGTTTTTGTGCAAATCGGCACACGTTTAGTGTCTCGTCTAGCTTTTAACCCATGTACAAAAAGACGTGCGTTTTTATTAAGCCGATTGCAATACATTGTGGTGGATGGCCAAAATGTGCACATAAATGTCTAACATGATTGTCGGACGTTTCCATTGAACTCTATACGACCAAATGCTTTATAATCTGCCAAAAACACTCGTATACTTTTACCAGCATTCTACAGCGTTTTACATCTTGCAACTAATCCTTCGAACATCTCCAAAATACGCCCCTTCCTCGCCACTGAAACCTCAAAACTACTCATCCCCCTTCAGTCTATCATGAATGCTGCTGCTAGACTCATTCACCTAACCAACCGCTCAGTGTCTGCAACCCCCCTCTGTCAATCCCTGCACTGGCTTCCATCCTTCCCCCCCCCCTCTGCCGATCCCTACACTGGCTTCCATCCTTCACCCCCCTCTGCCGATCCCTGCACTGTCTTCCACTCACCCAAAGGATAAAATTCAAAATATTAACAATGACTTACGAAGCCATCCACAACTCTAACCCCCGGATAAATCTCAAACCTTGTCTCAAAGAATCATCCTAACCGTCCCCTCCGTTCTTCCAAAGACAGCCTGCTTTCCAGCTCCCTCGTCAACTCCTCCCATGCTCGCCTCCAGGACTTCACTAGAGTCTCTCCCATCCTCTGCAACTCTTTACCCCAACCTGTCCGACTATTTCCCATTCTGACTGCCTTTAGACGATCCTTTAAGATGTATCTCTTCATGGAAGCCCATCCCACCTCAACCATCACAATCTCAAACCATTCCTCCCCACACAGCTCCCTCCTCATGTGTCACTTCCCCCTCCCTTCTAGATTGTAAGCCCTCATGGGCAGGGCCCTGCTTCCCATCTTGTCTTAATTGTATTGTGATTGAAATGTCTTTCTTATATTGTAAAGCGCTGTGCAAACTGTTGGCGCTATATAAATCCTGTATAATAACAATAATAACTCTCAGGTGTGAACAGGAGCAATTGAAATGAATGGGATTTCTTGTGTTAAGGGTTTTGTCGCGCTTTGCTTTGAGCGTCCAAACTCCCGGTGTGAACAGGGACTAAGGCTGCAGTTCAGAATTGAAGAACTTTGAAGATTTTCTTCATACGGGTAGATTATTGATGGCAGAGAATATCTTCCTTTCTGTGATGAGAACATTACTGTTGTCTGGCAGGTAACTGCAAAAACCAAAAGGATTTCCGCATTTCATATCACGTCCTTGTGAAAACAACCCTTCGTTTCTGCAGCCTGTCATTTGTATGAGAAGAACATGTTCATGTTTTCACATGGTTGTGTGTTTTGCAATATCTGAACATCTTTGTTTTTGTTTTGACATGTCTGGAACTGCGGCTGTGTTGAAACAAACTCCTATTCTTCGTGCTTTTCATTCTCCAGTATGACTGGCAGTGGAAGTATCTGGCACATGTACAGACAGCATCTTTACTCCGACTTGTTCTATCAATCTGTAGGCCAAATCACTTCTAATTTCCAAATGTGCCTGAACCCCAAAACATAAATGTAATCCATTGCAGTTCACCAGTCCTTGGATGTGATGGCTGCATTCCTTTTTTTTCTTTTGGTTCCAGTTCTCCTTTTTTTTAAACTTTTTTTTATTTTTCACCTGATCTTGCAAGTTACACACTTTCTGTCCTAGGGTCATAACCCTTACTCAACAAACTTTATCTATGGAGGAGTAGTGTTACCCTAAGACAGGACTACAAAAACCTCCCCTCTCATCTTCTCTAGAACAGAGGTTCTGTAGTCCTCAGAGCTGGCATAGAATGTTGTATCAAATACGAATGCAGCACAGGCAGCATGCACAGGAAGTTGTCAGCTGACCAGATTTCTGGCAGGATCAGCAGGTATTTTTTCGCACTTATTGAAGAGATGTAACAAAACGCCGGAGACCAAAGAAGAGAAATTACAGCACTCGCCTGGATAAAAAAAATATATTACTGTGTATAACATAAATTAGTGTATGCATGTGTATTTTTTATTATATATTGTACAAAAAAAACTAAAGCAAAAATAATCCAAGCATAAATGTTATAAACCTAAAAAGCGTATATGCAGCCATTGGAAGGTTATCAAGATCTGCAATCGCAGCTATTAATGTCAGTTACTAAGTTCCAATAGAAATATATATTACAAAGTATCCCCAGGGATATGTGTAAAGTGACCCTGAAGCAGAAAAGCTAAAAAAAGCGCTTTCTTACTACAGTAACGAGGCATCTTATACTGAAATCCCAAAGTAAGCACGTGTGAGGTCACTAACATGGACCACCTGATCGATGCATATTTGCAGTTTACGTTTTTATGTCCTGTAAAAAAAAAATGCCTTTTTTTTTTTTTTTTTTCCTGGGTTATGTGAGCGCAGG